AGCATCTACAAATGACAGATATGTGGGGTCACATAAATTTTTGGCAAAATTCGGGGGGGGGGGCGGGGGGGGGTAGAATATGTAAAAAAAGTAATTTGAAAAGTTCTGCTGGACAAAACTAAAAGAAGAAGGTATCACTATGTAGATAATATCAATGTTAAGAAGCGTGGAAAGTTTGAAGCCTGTAGCTATAATACTTCTCCTCCTGATACATTTGGCATTCCTAAAAAATCTGAAAAACGTGAAGTTGAGAAAAAGGAAAAAGAAGTTTAAAAAATGTTGTTTCTTAAAATTAAAGACTACATGAACAATATAGAGTGCATATACCATGTACATTTACCATTCATGTTATACTTATAATTATCATAATATATTTTTGTGTTGTTAACTAATTTTGTGGCAGATAAAATCATGTTTCTCTGGTACAGTAATAAATATAATCATGGGTGGAGAGCAGCAGTAAGAAAATCGCCGTAAGGGCAGGGGGTTCTGTAGAGGGGCATTATAAGTAATACTTTCACACAGTTATAGTTTTGCATGGAAGCTGAAAACTGTTATATTTTGGTCATTAAAAAAAATAATCATAAATGATATAATTTTTAAAAAAATAAATAGAATGTATTTCCTGAATTAGTCAGTAAAACCAACCAAATAGTCATAGCAACATATAAAAACATAATCAATCACAATACATAACTAGACGTAGACCATGGATCTGCCTTTTAAAAAATCTTAGACTTAGGCTTAGACTCTAAGAAATGTAGACTTTGACTTATAATTATAATATATAAGATACAAGCAATAATACTAATAATAGCACTAATACTATTGCTATCATTCAATTTCATTATTAATTAAAATTAATTCAATTACAATTTTACGTTAAACACATTAAAAGTTCTAGTTCAAAACAACCCATCATGCGGCTAATTACGCGCAATACTTTTTTTTTAATTGCCAAACTAGCGATAATAAACCTTATTTGGCTAAATTCCTAGCCGACTGCGTATAACCCTGAGAGTTATGCGCAGTCGACTGCGTATAACGCTTCCCTTTCAAAATAGCAACCCCCATGCCAAATATAAATATTATAATATACCGGTACAAAAAAATAATTAAAAAATTCCTTTTGGACAGATCTTAAAGAGGAGGTTTTATTATGTAGATCATATCAATGGTAAGAAGCATGGAAAGTTTTAAGCCTGTATCTGTAATACTTTTCTTCCTGATAAATTTCACATTCATAAGAAATATGAAAATGCAAAGTTGAGAAAAACGAAAAATATTTTTTTTAAAATTAAAGACCACTTGAACAATGTAGAATGCAGAATGTACATGAACCATTGATAAATTTTAAAAAATACAAAAAAAAAAACAGAAAATTAATAGTCATGTTTTCAAAATAACAACCCGCGGTCCCGAATAAAAAATATAATGATAATGAAAATAATTTTAAAATCTCTGCTAGACATATCTAAAAGAAGGAGGTGTTATTATGTAGATATTATAAATGGTAAAAAGCATGGAAAGTTAGAAGCCTGTAGCTATAATACTTTTCCTCGTGATGCATTTGGCATTCCTGAAAAACGCAAAGTTGAGAAAAACAAATTTGTTTAAAAATTGAAGACTACTTGAACAATATTGGATGCATATACCATGTACATATACTAATCATAAATGAAAAAACAATATAAAAACACATATAAAAGATAGAAAATAAAGTCATGTTTTTATTACATGTGTGCGTATATCACTGTTTGGTAAAATAATTCTAGTAATAATAAGTGGGTCTAGTGATAATGACCACTGTATTATTATACTAAACCTAGCTCAACATTCACTGGAATGCCAAAAAAACAAGCTAAAACTATTTATTATGCAATAATTAATTCAACTTACCTTTTCAAAGCTAGAAAATAAGTTCAAATTTGAATTTATTTCAAGATTGCAAAAGTAGGTGAGCGATCGATAAAAGGTTATACTAACTGGACACAATGATTTTGGGAGACAGGAATTGCATTGTAGGATAGATATGTGACTTGTTGATCAAATCTAAAATTAGCCGACCAATGATAATTGTGGATAAATGAACATTTAAATCTCGACCAATAAAAAAAATTTGTTTGAGCGAAAGCATATAGGGTTTGCAGAACAAAGAGCTCCGGCCAGCCTTATTTCTGAACATTTTAGTGGGCAATACCATTACCGAGTTGATAGGCTAAGCTTTCGATCGATACCAGATATGACTATATTGCGTTGTAATTATATTATAAAAGCGAGGGGCGTTCCAGGGAGCCTATTGGGCCTGAATTTTGCTCTTGAAGTTATAATTTGCTCTTACCATACTACTTTAAAATACATTTTTAACACTTTTAAATTATTTTTTAATGAAAATGGTAAAAACCAAATGTTCTTTAGATGTTTATCTAGTAAAATTTACCATAATCTCTTTTTTGATAATATTTATATAAATATGGATATTTTCCCCCGTGGACCACCTTAAGATTCAGAGGTGTGAGCAAAATGGTTTCCTACAGTTAATTACAATGTGTTCGGAATATACAAATGGTCCCTTGAAGCCTTGGATGGGGACACGTTAACGTTATTTCAGGTTTTTCAGGGGCGGGGGGTCGAAACCAAAACTTGGCAGGCTTATTGAGTTTTCATGTGAGGCGTCACAGTGCATAGCAATTTAAATATAACCTGCAAATTCANGGGGGGGATTAGAAATTGATCTCAGACTAATGCAGTGAACGTTTCCTAGAAAACTGAATGCAGGGTTCCCGCGGCTTCATGAAATTCCAGGAGCTCCTGGAATTTGAAAAAATTGCTAAAATCCTGGAAAACTCCTATAAATTTTGTTTCCACAGAGGTAGGGGTAAAAAAAATAATTTTTGTCGTTGTAGTTATTTTATTTATTTTTCGTCTATTCAATTGGTTGTCTATT